CAAGCCGGCGACGTTGACTCATGGAGGCAGGGAGGCAGCTCGGCCCTGTTGAGACCCAACAGCAGGCTCCAAAGCGTCTGAACGCTCCAACCAAAGCTGGAGCCACAGCTGGAAGCAATGACAAACGAATAACAATGATCATTTGTCACTGGCAAGACAAGACGTGGTGAGGCAGAGCCCGTTTGGGAGTGCCCTGCTGCGGCAGGCCCTAGAGCGCCCATCCGCCGAGCGCTGCGCTCTGCCGTAACGCGCCGCGCCGCCCCGCCCGCCGGCCGCGCGCCTGGGGCCCGCCAGGCCCCGCCGCCCACCTGCGTCGCGCGCTGCCTTTCCACCTCGCGCGCGCGCTGCTGGGCCAGCCGATCCGCGGCGCCGTCCGCAGCCGGCGCTGGTGCTGCCAGCAACGTGCGCTGCTCCTCCAGGGCAACCTGCCAGGGGGCCAGATACCAGAACGTTAAGCAGGCCATGGGCCATAGGCGCTTCCCGGCGCATGTGTGCCGCGCACGCAACGTTCAAATGCCAATGTCTGGCGCGCGGCGGCAGCGGCCGCGCCATAGCCATGCAACAAACAGCGCCACAGCAGGCGCTCCGCGCCGACGCACCTGCCGCTGCGCCAGCTCCGCACGCAGCCGCCCGGCCTCCGCCTCGTCAGCGCAGCTCTCCAGCAGCTGCTGCAGCTGCAGCGCCTGGGGCAAGTGAGCAGCGGCGGCGAGGGGTGTCACCGCGGCGGCTGCTGCCTCGGAGCGGCGCTCAAATCGAATTGAATGTACGCGGGAGAGGAGCAGCACGCCAACTTGTATGGGCGGAGCTAGGAGAAGGGCAAGACGCGCCAACTGGCCCCATCCAACGTGAAGCAACGCCGCGTGCAGTGCAAGAACCCCACCTGTTCTTCGAGCTCCGCCACCCGCGCCTCCGCCTCCGCCCTCGCCGCCCAGCCCCTCTCCCCGCCTGCCGCGGCTGCTGCCGCCCAGTCGGCCCCTTCAGACTCGTGAACGGGCCTGCGGGGGGCCAGGGTCGCCCAGGGCCCAGAGTGAGAGGCCTCAGGCACTCGTATGCGGCGCCGCGGGGGCGCCGCGGGATTGAAAACGTGGACGTATGCCCCGAAGCACTGGCCGAGCCCGCGGAATGAACATGCGTAGGTGATGCGCTTCGACCTGGATGAACTGCGAGAAAACAAACCCAACACCCCCGCCACAGGTGCGACTTACGTCCTGGCGCCGTCGACGCTGCCGCCGCGGCTCCGCTTCCCGTCCGGCCCGGCCTGCCCCTCTGCGCGCCGCTTGCCGGCCGCCGCGGTGGGCGCAGGGCCGACGTTTGCGCCAGGTGGCGGGGGGTCGAAGCGCAGGGCCAGAGGCGGCCCGTCTTCTCGAAGGGGCTGCGGCAGCTGCTGCCTGGCCAGCTCGAGCAGCTGCGCCTCCTCATCTGCCGTAAGGCCGGCCAGAGGGTCGGCCTCCCACGGCTGCTGCTGGTGATGATGCTGCCACCCAGACGCGGCGCCCGGGGACGCGGCGGCCGCCGACGCGGGGGCGCCGCCGCCGCCGCCGCTGCCATGCGCGCCTGTGGACGGCTGCCGGGAAGGCGGCTGGGGCGTGCCCGCGTATGCTGCCGCCGCGCCCGACGCCGCCGCTCCCGGCGGTGGTGAGGCGCCGCCGCCGCCTGCCGCCTCCGCCGCCTTCTGCTCTTTCTTCCGCACCCGCCGGCGGCGACCGGAGAACCAGTCTCGGACCTCCTTCTCTGTCAGCTGTATTCGCTGCGCCAGCGCGCGGCAGTGGTCCGGGGTCGGATTCTGGTTTACTGCAGTCGCGGCGGGGGAATGTGGGGGGTCAAGCATCGGGCATGGGGCAGGGATAAGGGTGCCATCGCAGCCTCGGATGCGCGCAAGGCGCATGACGAGTCAGGGCGCTGCCTAGGACGCGGCGGCTTGGATGAGATCGTGTGAAGAGGATGCGTCCCTGTCCACGGTGCATGCCCTGCCCACGGGCTGGGCGGCAGCTGCAGCTCGCTGTACGCAAGGCGCTCGGCCCTCAGGCCGGCTGCGCCGCCGCTTACTCATGTAAGAAGCCTCCAGGACCTCCTTTTGCAGCGGGGTCTTCTGCCGGGGCTTTGCGGGCGTCTTACCCGTGGGCGCACCGCCATCTGCGCAGTGCAGCAGGTTTGGCACACCCGCACGACACTGAACGCGCGCAGCGGCGTCGGTGCCGGGCATCGCAAGCTGGCAGGGTCGTGCCGCAGAGGCTGGTCGCGTATTTAGCATTGAAACAAAGCGACTAGCGCGTGCTGGCTCCAGTTGGGCCTGTCGAGTGCGCCAATCCAGCTCAAACCGATCTAGGCGCGCCACAGATATCCAGCTGATATATGCATGCTCACCGTCACCGTCCATCGCCGCTCCACGTCGCCGAGGCGCTGTGACAAACGACGGATCTCGTGATCTGTTGTGCTAGCCAGGATGCAAGCCGTTCATGACTGAAACTATCACCCCATCGATCATACATGCATGTTCAGGGCGGCTCGAGGGTAGCTTGCCGAACATGACACAGCGTAATCTGCCCAACACTGGCATGAACTGGACAGCACATCATGACAAGCTGTTATGTGCAATAAGCGCGTGACGAGTAGGACGTGGATTGAAATCATTCGCACTTTGATCAAGTGTTGACAGCGGGTCCAGCCTGAACAGGGAGCAGGGAGCAGGCCCCCCCCTGAATTCATGAAAGGTGGACTGAGTGGTCTAGGCGGTATGCAGGATACGGGCACCAGCTGCGCGCGGATGCGGTTGTGGAGGCACTGGATTTTGGGTCCCATGACAAGTTTTGATTGTATATCTCCTACTGTTGCCTCTCCTGCCCTGCAAAACTGGAGTATCTTTCTGCTCGTGTCGCCTGTACGCAGCTCATCGTGCATCCACGATGCATTGAATGTTGCGCGCTCGCTCGCGTGTGAATGTGCTTGATTCAAGCTGAGTGCTGGGCTGGGGGTTACGTAGGGCTATTGATGTCAGAGCATTCTGACGAGCCGCCGAGCCCTGGAACGCCCCTGCCCCCCCGCCCAAACGGGGTGGCACGACGGCAGTGACCAGCTCGCTTTGCCTCAAGTCTGATGCTTGCGAGGGTGACAGCCAACAGATTCTTAACTCAACTGGCACATGGCTGTACTGGTCTCCAGTCCTCATTCATCAGGGTCGTGTACATGACATGCATGACCAGCAGCTGCGCAAGTGCCGCCTTCCAGGCCTAGGTGGGGCGCCCGCAATGTACAGACGCTGGTCCCACACTACCACCGCCGCTCAAAGTTTTGTATCAGTATATCATTGCAACAATCATATGATGCTCACGCTCTGCATCACTGCATCAACCACTCCGGTACCCGCCCCACCTTGATGGCACCCAGCTGCCAATGACAGGAGTCAAGCATGCCGTAGGGGCTAAAATGCAGCCAGATACAACGATAGAGGACCCCCCGCTGAGGAAGGCGAGTGCAAGTCGTGTAGTAACCCTGCTAGCTTTCCGTAGCTCGCGGAAAAAGATCGACTAACAGATGGCCTGTGTGTGCAGGTTTCAATCCTGGTGCTCGGAGCGGGCCCGACCGGCCTCGGCGCGGCGACGCGCCTGCAGCAGCACGGCAACACTGACTGGCTGATTGTCGACCAGGCAAGCATGAACAGCAGGGCACGCATGCTGACTGCCAGGCAACCGATGCGTTTGGCACAGCACCGTTGCGCCCTCGAACAAGGTGATCACCAATGGCCTCGCCTCAGCTGTGCAGTTGCCCGTTCGGACGCGCCATGGAAACAGCTGCATGCGCGCGCGCCGCGCAGGCAGAGGAGGCTGGCGGCCTGGCCTGCACTGATGTCACGCCTGAAGGTTTCTATTTCGACATGGGCGGCCATGTGGTCTTCAGCCATTGGGACTACTTCGACCAGGCAAGGGTGTCTGGGCGTTTGGGCGGCCCGGTCGGTTGCAGTTGGCACTTGGGCAACAGCAGGCTGAGGGGTGGTGGCAGTCCATGGTTGGTTGAATGCTTCATGGACGGTCTCGGGCGCGACATGCATCGCTCGCGGCGGCTGCGGCGGTCTTAGCATCACAGATGCAAAGGGGCCTGCGATTCGCCCATGCGGCGCGCCTGGCTTGCCATGCTCCTGAAGCAGAGCAGATCGCCGGCGGCCTAGGCCGTGAAAACGTCACCTCGCGGCTCAGTTGCCCCCGCACGGCCCACGCCTCGCCCGCCCGCCCCCGCCGCCCCGCGCCGCGCCGCTTTTACAGCTGCTGGATACAGCCCTGGGGCCCGGGCCTGACGCCTGGAACACCCACCAGCGCGTGAGCTACGTCCGGGTCAAGGGCCGCTGGGTGGCGTACCCCTTCCAATCCAACATCTCAGCCCTGGATAAGGACGACCAGGTGGGGGCATGGGTGCATGGGGCCGTGCGGGAGCCGGGCGGCCGGGTGCCAGGGCTGCGGCCGGTGGCGGGTGCCGGTCGCGGCGGCGCGGGGGATGTGGGGCAGGCGGGCGGCGAGAGCCCCGCCCCGCGGCAGGCGGCGGTGGCGTTCAAGTTGTCGGCGAGGTGCCGGCTGTGTGGCCCCCGGGGGGAGCCGCGCGGAGCATGCGTCAGGACAGCCGGCTGCGCTCTGCCTACCACGCATGTCCGAAACCAATCTGATCGACCTGGACAGGTGGCATGCCTGGCGGGCCTCGTGGAGGCCAAAGTGGCTGACGCGACGGCCGGGGGCCGGCCCGCCACGTTTGACGATTGGATCATGCGCTGCATGGGCCGAGGGATCGCGGATCTCTTCATGCGCCCCTACAACTTCAAGGTGGGGCGCTTGGGGGTTGGTGGCGGTTGAGGGCATGTCGGCGAGCCGACCCGTGCTGTCGTCGCAGCTGGTCGCAGGACGACCGGGATACAAGGCAACCACAATGACGCATGTGTTTAGGGGGCAGGTGCTTCCCAACCCTGCCTTTCACTGTAAACGCTGCCCACACCCGCATACATTTGCCTGCCACGCGCCGCCATCAGGTATGGGCGGTGCCGACGACTCAGATGCAGTGCGAGTGGCTGGGGGAGCGCGTCGCAACGGTCGACGTCGGCCGCGCCATCGCCAACGTGGTGCACGGCAGGGAGGACGCCGGCTGGGGACCCAATGCAGTGTTCCGCTTCCCAAAGCGCGGCGGGACGGGCGCAATGTGGCGGGGCGTCGCGGCGCTGCTGCCGCGGGAACGGCAGGTGAGCAGGCGGCGGCCTGAAGGGAGCATCGGGAATTGGTGCGCGGTGCATGCGACCCCTCTCTTACTGTTGGCTGGCCAGCCTTGGCGTGTCCAGCCTTGCTGGTAGGATTCCTGTATGAATTCTGCCCCACGCCGCACGCATTCTTGGGGTGCACCCCAGCTGCATCACGCATGGAGGCCCTGCGCTGCAGTCTCTTGCTCACACCTGGAACCGTATTTCTAAACCGTGAAACCTAACCCCTGATCCTCAACTTCTCACAGCTGTACAAGCAGCGCGTCACCACAATCGACAAGGACACACGGACGGTCTCGCTGGCGTCCGGCGGGCGCATCCACTACGAGAAGCTGCTCACCACCTTCCCCCTCGACGTCACGCTGACGTGGCTGGGCAGGCGGGAGTGGGCGGAGGGGCTGCAGCACAGCTCGACGCACATCGTGGGCGTGGGGATACGAGGCAGATGGTGGGCGGGGGCGCGAACGCACAGCCATAGAACGGGACAGTTGGGTGCGCAGCTGCCAGCCGCAAGCACTGGCAGTGGTGCCTGTGCAGCAACGCTGGTGCAAGTAATGTGCCCTGTTGTCAATCAGGCGCCAACTCGGGCCGTGAGCATCCTTGTTCATTGGGTCTCCTCACGTATTCTTGTGCACACAGCACAAACTCCATCCTCATCCTTTCGCATCCAATTGATCTGCAGCCCCCACGGCTCAAAGTGCTGGCTCTACTTTCCAGAGCCCGACTGCCCCTTCTACCGAGCCACCGTGTTCAGCAACTATGCGGAGGCCAACTGCCCGGCAGCCTCCGTGCGGCTGCCCACACTTTGCTTGGGGGACGGCAGCGAGCCCAGCGGCGCAGCGGCGGAAGAAGGGGCGACAACCGCCGGCGTTGGCCGCCCCGATGGGAGCAGCGGCCCCAGCGGCGGCGGCTGCGCGGCGGCCGGAGGAGTAGGCGGACCAGGAGGGGAACCTGGGGAGGCAGCTGGGCCGTATTGGAGCCTCATGTTTGAGATTAGCGAGAGCGCCCTGAAGCCAGTCAACCAGGCGGCCGTCCGATTAGGAGGCGGCACCTGGTGAGCAGTAAGGGTTTTTGGGGGGCGCAATCCCTGCGGCCGTACTTGCGAAAGGACGCTGAATGGTCGTCATCAGAGCCTGCTTGCCTTCGATCGTCTCGTGTACACAAGGAACACCAGTGTGCACCGATTAATGACAACACCATCAAACAACACCACTTCGGCACCACCCGCCCCTGAGCCTGCAGGCCCGAGGTGGTGCGTGAGACGCTGGCGGGGGCGGTGAGCACGCAACTCATTGCGCGCACCGACCAGGTGGTCTCCCTCTACCACCGCCGCCTGGAGCACGGTGGGTTGCGCGGGGAGGGGGCCTCCTCGCAGGGGGGGCCGCGCGGGGGTTGGCGGGGTCCAAACAAGGCATGTGTCCCCGCAGATGGGGTGCGCCCGCCAACCCTTGTCGGGCCCGCATGCACCCTTTGTTGCTGGCCTGCTACCAGACGATTTCGTTGTTGGACCACTGCTAACACTGGTTAGCACCTCGTGGTTCATTTCATTGTGCTCGCCATCACCCCCACGTCCCTTGTGCATCCTCACATCTTGCTGTCGGCCCGCAGGCTACCCGACGCCGTCGCTGGGGCGAGACGCGGTGCTGAAGCAGGCGCTGCCCTGGCTGCGGGGCCACGGCATCTGGAGCCGGGGGCGGTTCGGCTCCTACAAGGTGCGGCGAGTGCGGAGCTCGCCCCGGGGACATCCCAAGCTCTGCAAACCCCCGTTGCACACATTCCCGCAGTCCCTTCCACTCCTCTTTCCAACCCTCCTT